GGTACGGTGGGCCTGTAATCTTAGCACTCTGTGAGACCAAGGCAAGTGGATTGCTTGAGCTCAGGAGTTTGAGACCATCCTGAGCAAGAGCGGGACCCCCGTCTCTACTAAAAATAGAAAAACTAGCTGGGCTTTGTGGAAGATACCTGTAGTCTCAGCTACTTGGGAGGCTGAGGAAAGAGGATCATTTGAGTCCAACAGTTTGAGGTTGCTGTGAGTCACTCTACCCAGGGGGACAGAGTAAAACTGTCTCCAAAAACAAACAAACAAAAAACATAAAACACCAAAATTAGACTGCTATGATAAAAAACTTGCCACTATTAGAATCAGTTACAAGGATTATGACTGATGAAAGTTCCATGTAGTAACTAAATGTTTTAGCACAAACATAGTCCTAAAGAAAAGAGTTGACCACAAGTTCCTGGCAATAATGATATACCCTCCTCAAGGCACTGGATTTGTCATGGCTTGTTCTCCATGGAATATGAGTTTTCCACAATGGTACTACCGAAGGCACTATATTTTTAGTCACTTATGTTTTCCAACTAAGACACACGTCAATTACACACTACATATATAAACAAATTAATTATGCTTATGCTTAATTAATGGAGTTGTTAAAAAATGTGAAAATAGCAACACATGAAAATTTTATATCTCTATTTTATACATTTGGGATATTTGGTTTTCTGGAAGTTAATTTCTAAGAAAGGATTTGAGTCCTAAGAAATATCAAATCCTGCTATTATTCATTAAGGTGTAATGAATATTAGGGGCTACTTATTTGGGTTATTCTTTTTTCCCTAGAATAATTATGAGATTCTTGGAAACTATGACTAAAAGTCATTTATTTATTTAATTTTTTTAGAGATAGAGTCTCACTTTATCGCCCTTGGCAGAGTGCCGTGGCATCACAGCTCACAGCAACCTCCAACTCCTGGGCTTAGGTGATTCTCTTGCCTCAGCCTCCCGAGTAGCTGGGACTACAGGCACCTGCCACAACGCCTGGCTATTTTTTTGCTGCAGTTTGGCTGGGGCCGGGTTTGAACCCACCACTCTCAGTATATGGAGCTGGTGCCCTACCGGGGGTGGCGAATTCAAGCCCTGCCCTGGCCAAAAACTGCAAAAAAAAAAGCAATTTCATTTACCCTAGAAGTTGATCTGAATTAAAGCTTGACTTTCCTGTTTGTCTCTGTACTTTGTATCTTTCATCTTTATTTGTGGCCAGTAAGTATCAAAATACGAAAATACATCCCTTTTTATAAGATTTGGAAGTTATTTTCCATCACTGAAGATATACTCATATTTTTGCAAACAGCAACTATCCATTTGTCAATAAAATGCTACGAAATTGTTTTCCACACCTGTTATTTTGTTCAAAACAAGATACAATTAAAGCAAAAATAGTTGTGAAAAGGTAGAATAAAGCAGGAGGAATCACGTGATGTGATTTTAAGACCTACCATAAAGCTACAGTCATAAAGACAAGGAAAGGGAGCAAAGGAAGGGCGTGTAGTTTAATGGAACAGAACTGAGATCTCAGAAATGTACAGCCAGTTGTTTTTTAACAAAGTTGCAAAAGCAATTCAACAGATTAAGGGATAGCCTTTTCACAAATGCTATTAGTAACCCACATACAAAAAAAGCCAACCTTGAACTACATCTTAACCCCTATACAAAAAATAATACAAATAGCCTAGCATCACGGTTCCACCTATAATCTTAACACCCTGAGAGGCTGAGGCAGGAGGATGGCTTGAGCTCAGGAGTTGAAGGCTAGTGGGAATAGGAATGAGACCCTATTTCTAAAAATAGAAAAATTAGCTAGGTAGGGGGAACCTGTAGTCCCAGGTACTCAGGAGGCTGAAGCAGAGGTTGCAGTGAGCTGTGATGACACCACTGTACTCTACCCAGGGTGACAAAGTAGAACCCCCAAACAAATAAAAAACACAACCAAACAAACAAAAAACACCACAAATCATAGACTTCAATGTCATGTGTGAACCACAACTTTTTTTTTTTTTCCTTTTGGCCAGGGCTGGGTTTGAACCCACCACCTCTGGCATAAGGAGCTGGCGCCCTACCTTTTTGAGCCACAGGCACCACCCCAACCACAACATTTTTAGAAGAAAATATAGGAGAAAATGTTTTTTCTGTACCAAGAATTAAGTAGAATTCTTAGACAGGAGAACAAAAAAGACTCAGAAAAAAAACAATAAATTGGACTTTTATAAAAATTTAAACTTTTGCTCATGTTACAACAATGCAAAAGACCAGCTCCAAACTGAGAAAATGATCTATGTAAATCCCATATCCAACAAAGGAATTGTATTGAAAGAGCTCTTAACACTCAACAATAAGATAATTAACAACTTAATTAAAAAATGAACAAAAAACTAGAACACTAGAACACACACCAAGAAGATATAAGGATGGTTAAAAAGTACATGACAAGGCTCAGCGCCTGTGGCTCAAGTGGCTAAGGCGCCAGCCACATACACCTAAGGTGGCAGGTTCAAATCTAGACTGGGTCTGCCAAACAACAGGCTGCAACCAAAAAAAAATAGCCAGGCGTTGTGGTGGGCGCCTGTGGTCCCAGC